TTGGGGGGGGGGGGGGGGGGGGGGGGGGCAAGAGGACTGATTTTTACAGATGCAGGAGTTTGAACCCCAAAATTCATCCTTCGCCTGGAATAGGAACGTGGCTTCCAACTGACCGACTTGAGATATTTTAGCTATTAGTTGGGGCGATCTTTTAGTACAACCAAGGAAACTGCCTACCTTTTCACATAAGCCAGGCCAATGTTGCCCAAACTGGTATTCTCTTTATCTATCTAATGTGCTGGGTAAATACTGTATTTCTCCAGTCCCCTCCCCACCCAGGCCAAACTGATTCAGTAGGTATGGCTGGTGTGGGTCCTGGAAATCTTGCTGGATTTTTTTTTTTTTTAAACAATTGTCCCCAAGGGATTATTATGATCAAGAGAAAGTTTAAGACTCCCTGACTAGACTATTTTCTGAACTCTTAAACTTGTACAAAGGGTGGGTGGGGAGTGGGAGTAGGGGGGGGGCTTTTTGCTTGGGAATCCCCATTACAGCTTCTGCTCCAGGGTGGCTCAGGATTTGGTCATCTTTCCTTGATTCATGTAAGGAATAGTTCCTGATCCAGGGAGGAATCAGGGAGAGGAGTCTGGTCACTGGGATGACCAATTTTTTTCTCAGGTATCTAAGCAGTGGATCCGAGCCCTGGAGGTTGGTGAGAGCCATGTATTGCCTCTAGATGAAATTGGACGAGAGACCATGACTGTAACCCTCATTGATGCCAATCACTGCCCTGGTTCTGTCATGTTTCTCTTTGAAGGCTACTTTGGAACCATCCTCTACACAGGTGAGTCTCCTGAGGGCTCCCTCCCACCTTCCCAGCCTCAATACTACTTTTGTTGATACTGCTTTTGTTTTTTATATTTATATTTATATTTATATTTTTATTTTTTATAATAAAATCCATCAAGGACTTTTTCTTTTTTTGTCCTTTTTTTAAAAATTTTTTGAGACCCGCCGCACCGCGCTCAGCCAGTGAGCACACTTGCCATCCCTATATAGGATCCGAACCCGCAGCGGGAGCGTTGCTGCACTCCCAGTGCAGCACTCTCCTGAGTGCGCTGCGGGCTCGACCCTTTTTTTAATATTTAAAGCTAACTTTTGTCATTGTTTTCTTTACCCCGTGAATCAAAAAACAACCTGCTTCATTTCTCCTTCCTTGTAATTACTCCACATACCCTGTCCCCCACCCACTGGACACACAATTCAAAATAACTTTAAAAGATCTTTGTAATTTGTTAAGCATTATGATTTATAAAGAAGTGAAAGACATACAAATCCCTACACTGAAGACAGAATATAAGTCTGGAGGCCTTCTAGCTTCATTACATATGAGCACAGTTACAGTGGGGACCAAGCTTCAATGACTTTGGGAGACCATTCAATCCACTACACCCCTAAAGCTCAGGTAGAATTCTAATCCCCAACTTGGCAATGTTGGGAGCAGTTTGGGTCATGGGGAGCCAGTCCCTCATAAATAGATTAATGCCCTCCCTGGGGTGGCGGGTGGTGAGTGAGTTCTTGCTCTATTAGTTCCTATGGGAGCCAGTTGTTTAAAGGAGTAAACTTGTGTTTAAACTTGTGAAGAGTAATTAAAAACAGGAGCAGGATGGAGACATTTCCACAAAGAAGCTATACTACACATTCAGTGCCAGGCCACATAATAGTTTTCCCACAGGCCAGTAAGCAAATACCCATCTGTTCCTGGAGGTGGGAGAGGCTTGTCTTCTATTATTTTGTCACTGACCTTCTGTCCCCCATATATTCTTCTTCCAGGTGATTTTCGATATACACCATCCATGCTAAAGGAGCCAGCCCTGACATTGGGGAAACAGATCCATACCTTATACCTAGACAATACCAATTGCAACCCAGCCCTGGTTCTTCCTTCCCGACAAGAAGCTGCCCACCAGATTGTCCAGCTCATTCGAAAGCACCCACATCATAATGTAAAGATTGGTAAGTTGTTTCTTTTCCTTTTTCTCTTACTCATAGTTAGTGAATGTAGGCTCTTTGACGTTTCTCACATCTTTCAAGTCTTTGTGCAACTTTGACGCTGTCCATGAAACCTACCTTGACCACCTTATTTAAAAATTGCAACCTGCCCACTCCCATATTTCCAACTCCTGATCTCCTACCAACTCAATTTTTTTGTTTTTTTATAGCACTTCTCACCTCCCAACACACTCTATATGTTTTTTTAACATGCCATTACTTATTATTTATTATCTGTTCCCGACTTTCCCTGCCACACACACACACACACACACACACACACACACAACGTAAACTCCTTAAGATGTATGGAAGTGGGAAGAAGCTTTGTGTGTTTGTGGAATAGAGAAGCAGCAGCCAATGTGTCAGGCACACAGTGGGCAAGGAGAATGGAAAGCTACTATGAGTGCTGCTTGCCTTTTATTGTGTGACTCTCCCTGCTAGAATGTAAGTTCCACAATGGCTGGAGTCCTGGTAGACCATTTTGAACTTGATCTAAACCTAGCCAACAAAGAGCTATTGAAGGATATTAACTGGAAAGGGACAATACATATATATTTTAAAATTGTAAGACAGGTGATTGTACATATCTCTGGGGTACAAAGTTGAATATCAATACCTGTGTACAATATGTGAAGTTCAAATCAGGATAATTAGTATATTCAACAATACACAATGTAATCATTTTTCATGGCCCTTTATCAATTCCTCTTTTACCCCCACCCCCTTCCCCTTTCCCACCTCTGATAACGTCAGTTCTCTCCTTTTGAAAGCTCAACATATTATTGTGATTGTTATATCTTCCTTTCTTTCTTTTTAAAAATTATTTATTTTTTAGCTCCCACTTATGAGTGAAGACATTTGGTATTTCACTTTCTGTGCCTGGCTTATTTTACTTAACATAATTTTCTCTAAGTTAATTCATGTTGCTGTGAATCGCAGTATTTCATTTTTTTTAAAGGCAAAGTAATATTCCATTGTGTAAATATACCACATTTTCCTTATCCAGTTGTCCAAGGTTGGACATTTAGGTTGGTTCCAACTCTTGGCTATTGTAAATAGAGCTGCAATAAACATGGGAGTGCAGGTATCCCTTCAACGATGACTTCCATTCCTTTGGGTATATACCCAGCAGTGGGATTGCTGGATTGTATGGCTATTCTATCTGTAGTTGTTTAAGGAACCTCCATATCATTTTCCATAATGGCTGCACCAATTCACAGTCCCTCCAACAGTGTAGGAGGATTCCCCTCATTCTGCATTCTTGCCAGCATTTGTTATTCTCTGTCTTTCTGATAATAGCCAGTCTAACTGAGATGAGATGATATCTTAGTGTGGTTTTGATTTGCATTTCCCTGTTGCTGAGTGATGTTGGGCATTTTTTCATGTGTCTGTTGGCCATTTGTACATCTTCCTTTGAGAAATGCCTATTTAGCTCCTTTGCCCATTTTTTAATTGGGTTATTTGTTTTTTTACTGTTAAGTTGTTTGAGTTCCTTGTATATTCTAGATATTAATCCTTTGTCAGATGCATAGTTTGCACATATTTTCTCCCACTCTGTAGGTTGTCTTTTCACTCTGTTGATTGTGTCTTTTGCTGTGCAGAAGCTTTTTAGTTTGATATAATCCCATTTGTTTATTTTTCCTTTTGTTGCCTGTGCTTTGGGGGACTTATCGATAAAGTCTTTGCCCATTCCTACTTCCTGAAGTATTTCCCCTATATTTTCTTTTAATAGTTGTATAGTTTAAGGTCTTACATTTAAGTCTTTAATCCATTTTGAGTTGATTTTGGTATATTGCAAGAGGTACGGGTCTAGTTTTACTCTTCTACATATGGATGTCCAGTTTTTCTAGCACCATTTATTGAAGAGGCAGTCTTTTCCCCAATTTTTATTCTCAGTGCCTTTGTCAAAGACCAGTTGGCTGTAAGTTTGTGGGTTGATTTCTGGGTTCTCTATTTTGTCCCATTGGTCTGAGTGTCTGTTTTTATGCCAGCACCATGCTGTTTTGGTTACTATAGCTTTGTAGTATAATTTGAAGTCAGGTAATGTTATGCCTGCAGCTTTATTTTTTTTTGCTCAGGATTGCTTTGGCTATTCAGGGTCTTTTGTTGTTCTATATGAATGTTAGGATTGTTTTTTCTCTTTCTGTGAAGAATGCCATTGGTATTTTGATGGGGATTGCATTGAATCTGTAGACCACTTTTAGACATTTTCAAAATGATTATTAGAAGAGGGACAATAGTGCACTCATTATCTTAAAATATATTCTGTAATTTATGAATTTATTATATTTAGTTTTTATTGTCTGACTCTCCCTGCTAGAATGTAAGTTCCACAATGGCAGGGCTCTTTCTTTTATTATGGATATATCCCAGATACCTATATTAATGCCTGACACATAGTCATTCAATAACTTGTTACATGAATGGACGAAATTTATCAGCTTGTAGGTATTTAAAGGAATGCTGTGCTTTAAATTAGGTACGTTGAAAAAAATAGGTGTATGCTTGTTCTAGTGATGGTAAAAAACATTTTTAGGATTCTTCTTTTAAAGTTGCCTTTTGAGGTAGTTCATGATAATCAGTTTTTGTTTTAAAAAGTGTAATAGGTTTAGTTCTAAATGACTTTTTTGGTTGTTTCCAAAACTATAATAAGTCCACAAAAGGGAATAGATTTGCCACCATTATGAACATTTTAAAAGGACATGGCCCAACTCTGAAAGAATTTTCAAAGTGAGGTTAAACAAAGGCATTGAAAAAATTATATACCTTCCAGGATAATTACCAAATTGAGAATATCCCCTACCCTCAGAATTGCTTAACTGCTCGTGAAGAAATATCAGCCATACCCATTCTTGAATTTTCCCAGAGAAGCACAGTTGACTAGGAGGGTGCTGTGGAGGACTTGATTAATTTTGCAAATATATAATAAGCCCCCACTATGGGCCAAGTATCCACTAGGCAGTGGGGATATAAAAGATGAATAAAATGTGGTCTCTGACTTTGAGGGCTTACAGTCTAGTATGGAAGGACCTAGACAGGGAAAAATTGGGAATATATATAAAGAAAATCAGCTACGTTTGTGCCCAAAGAGTGAGATTTTGATCCATAATCAGGAATAAAGTAGATATAAAAGAAATATAAGTTCTTTTAAGGAGTTCACAACCTGATTGTGGATTTGAAATAGACCTTAAGAAAAGGAACAACTGTTAAACAGCATCTTCCATATCTGTTACCATAACCATTACCCAAATTCATGTCTTCATTTCTTTCTATGTAAGTACTATTTGGGCCTTCCAGTTGGAACTGCTGCTTCCAGCTTATTCTCATCCAGGCAGTCGAATAACATTGCTGCTCTTTATTTATTTATTTTTTTTCCAAAAGGCCTATTCTGATCATATTCCTATGATTAGAGTTAGCCATTTTCCTGCTTTAGACTCTTTAATGGCTCCCCTTCACTTACAGAATTAAGTCCAAGCTCCTTAGCAGTACATACAAGGTCTTCTCTTATACGGTTCTTACTTATATCTCTAGTATCATTTCTCACCAATTCCTTCTTTACTTTAGTAACATCAAACTGACCCCTCTAAAACTGACACAAAGAATGATTATGTTTTGTAATGATGAATATCTTAATTATCCTGATGTGATTATTACATATTGTACACAAGTACTGATATGTCAGCTCTGTGTCCCACAAACAGGTATAATCAATTACGTTTCAATAAAAAGAAAAAGAAAAAAAAATGTTTCCACCATATTCTTTCCTTGACAACTTAGCACAGTTGTCATTTTCAGGAAACTTTCCCTAACTTAATTGACTGATAGATACTCTTCTTCTGAGCCCTCATAACACAGTATACATATCTCTAACATTGCCCTTAACTGTGTTGTTTCTGGGTCTCCATGTAGATTGTAGCCTTGAGGGCTGAGACCTTTTTACGTTTGTTTTTACAGTGTCTAGCACTTGGTAGATACTTTCTTTTGTTGAACTGAATGAATAAGTGGATTCTGTGTGGCCTCCCTCACCCCCAATTCTCTGTATTTGTATCTCAGCTCAAATGCTCCCTGATATACTCCTTGGGTTGCCCCACAAATTTTGTGAATTTTTGTTAAACATTTGGTGGACTTATTAGGGTTCTCCAATAGTTTCATTCTTCCTTCTCTTACTTTCCCCAATCCTTTTAACATTCAGGACTCTATAGCCTGGGAAAGGAATCACTGCTCGAGCAGCTGGCCCTGGAGTTTCGGACCTGGGTGGTATTGAGTCCTCGGCGCCTAGAGTTGGTACAGCTGCTGGGTCTGGCAGATGTGTTCACAGTGGAAGAGAAGGCTGGCCGCCTCCATGCTGTAGACCATATGGAGATCTGCCATTCTGCCATGCTGCATTGGAACCAGACCCACCCTACCATTGCAATCCTTCCCACAAGCCGGAAAATCCACAGATCCCACCCTGATATCCATATAATCCCTTACTCTGACCATTCCTCCTACTCTGAGCTTCGTGCCTTTGTTGCAGCACTGAAGCCTTGCCAGGTGGTGCCCATCGTCGGTCGACGGCCCTGTGGAGACTTCTTTCAGGACAGCCTGAGCCCCAGGCTCTCCATGCCCCTGATTCCAGACTCTGTGCAGCAATACATGAGTTCCTCCTCTAAAAAACCAAGCTTTCTCTGGCTGTTAGAAAGGAGGCTAAAGAGGCTGAGAACCCAGGGTGTTGTGTTTGAATCCCCTGAGGAAAGTACTGATCAACCTCAAGCTGACAGAGACACAAAGAAGGCCAAGAAAGAGAACCTTTTTCCCTGGCCTGGGGACCTTGAAAAGCAGCCCTTTCACCGTCCTTTGCAGATCAAGAAGCAGTTGTTCCCAGACCTCTGCAGCAAAAAATGGGATGGGGCAGTTCCTTCCTGTGAGTCCCAGAAGATGGTGACTATGTTTGCTGACTCCCTGGGATTTTCAGTGCAATTGAGGTCTACAGATGAGGAGTCTATCTCTCCAGAAACCAGGGGGGAAATTGGCTTAGGGTCCCCCTTGGTACCCAGGGGAGATGATGATGGCCCAGCAGCCACAGGGAACCAGAGTGCCTGGATGGGCCATGATTCTCCCCTGTCTCACAGCAGCAAGGTCGCCCCTTTTCTAGCTGCTGAGTTCAGGAGCCTAGCACTAAAGTACCTTCTGACTCCAGTGAACTTTTTCCAGGCAGGATTCTCTTCTAGGAGCTTTGACCAGCAAGTGGAAAAATACCATAAACCCTTGCTGAAGTACACACAGGAGAGTATGAAATAACCTTGTTTTATCCAACACTCCAGTTTTGAAGGGTGGCTGATGGCTATTGAGGAGAGTTTGCTTTGTGCCTTACTTTTCTATCTTTATAGAGTTCATATGGGCTCACACTGGAGCAGCACTTCCTAAAGGTTCTTCATTGGAGTCCTGGTGCCTACGGAGTCCTTAGTTTTATAGTTGACTATGTTTAAGAAACACTTTTCATTATAAACTCTTCAGAGTGTGTATGAGCACATTAAAGATTCTTAGAATTCCTATAGTAACTTAATTTATTTAACTTTGTTTAACCCAGCATTTTTCAAACTTTTGTGAACATGCAGTCATCTTATGTGGGTGCAGAAAGAGATAAAGAGGCTGAATCAAAAAGGACCAGGTTATTCCCATTGTTTTTTTGTGCATTGTGTGCCATTCCCCATGTCCCCTTTTCCCTCTTCACAGATAAAAGTCCCTAGGTAGTTCCATTTTTTAAATTATGAACTGTGGTGCTGGAGGTTAAAGTGGTAGCCCCAAGGAGCATGTTCCAATCCTGAATGTCACTGACTTGCTGTGACCCCCATCCAAGTGACTTCCTGTCTCTGCCTCTGGGGGGGAACAGGAAGCAATGAAGAGGCCTTGGAACAGTAGTGAAAAATTCCACCTCTGCTTCCTTCATGAGTGTGTGCAGTTAGTGTCACTAGGACATATCTGGCACAGAGCCAGTAGGAGGGTTGGGCATTTCTCACCAGGGCAGTACCTGGAACTCAGCTGAACATTAAGGCTTAGGGTGTGACAGGCTCCCAGCTGCCTGGAGGTCCTGACTATTTGGCTGAAATAAAGTTAGAAAAGATCAAATGTGCTGTTAGATATCCTTCAGATTGTTCACATAGCTGGGATGTTTGTTGCACAGCCCCCACTTTGGTTTGAGCAGAGAGCCAGAGCACAGAGTCTGTTTGTTTTAGTATTCAAAGAAGAGACCAAAGAGTCAGCTGGCTGGTAGGGCTGGGGGTGTGCAGTTCTGCCCTGTCCTTCTGCTGTAACTGGACAAAATGCCAATCTAATAAGCAGGACAGCCAATACCATGGCTATGAGAGAATAGGCTCTGAGAGAAGCCAAAGACATGTGGAGCTGGGCATGTGGATGAAAACTGCTTCAGAATGGAACCTTGAGCCTTAACAACAAAGGAGGCTCCGTTTCTTGTCTGGGAGGGCAAAGTTTTCTATTTTTGGAAGGAGAGATGAATTTAGAAAACAAAATAAGTCCTTGCTCTTGGTCAAGCTGTACACAGTTCCCACACAGCTCTATTTCATCGATGACCTTTGTTGTAAGCCTCCCAAGAGCTTACTAGGAGCCACAGCAGACAAGGCATGTGGTGTGGCAGGAACATGGGCATTGGGCTTGAATCCAGGGAACCCTGGACAAATTGCTTTAATAGTAGATCCTCAGTTCCTCATCTGTGAAATGAACTGAGGTAACCAGCCTCTTGTGATTGCTGTGGAGATTGGTAAAATTCTAGCTCAGTGTCTGCCACATGATGGGTATTTCAAATGTTGGTTCTCGGCCTCTGGCTGTTCAAAAAAGTGATTCTGAATATAAAATAAGAAACTTAGGAAATCATATAAAAATATAAAGAAAAAAAATCAATTCTAATTTCTCCATGTAGGTCAATCGATAGCTTTCTTTTAGTCTTTTTCTTTGCATGTAATGTGTTAAATACATAATTTTTTAAAATGGGAATAATACTGTGTGTAATTTCATATCCTGCATTTTACATTCTTAATAAGCATTTCACCATTCATTAAATATTATTCAAAAATGTCATTTTGAATAGTTGTACAATACCCTTTATTAAACCATTCCCATATTGTTCAACATTTTGTGTACTTTTAAAAAAATTATGTGTATTACAACAAACAGCCTTATAAATGTACCTTGACATTTTTGTTTATTTCCTTAGAATAAATTACTGGAAGTGGAATTACAGTTTTAAGTTCTTGATGCAAATTGTACCAAATTGCTCTCCAGAAGGGTTTTCTTGCCATCTTTTCTTCAGAAGAGGATAGCATTAAAATACCTTGAAGACTGATTAAGTTTGAATATCATGAGAACGGTACACGTTAACAAGTGGAAAATCACGTGTTAAGTCAACAAATATTTACTAAACCATGTGCTCTAGAGGCCTCTAGCTGTCTCACTTCTGTGAGACCCAAGGGTGGCTGGAAGAGATAAGGTAGTTCTCACTACAGGGGCCCCCATATTGGGGTTATCCAGCAACAAAGGAGCCTGTCCACTCTTGGCACCTGCTCTGTCACACTTCTTCCTTGAAATGGGATCTATATGAATTCAGATGGAGCAGAAGCAAAGGCTTTGAGGAATTTAGTTGTTGGTGGCATGTTTGTGTTTTAATAATGGGAAAATTCCATACCATCCTAAAATAAAAATGTCTGACTTCTTATAATAGAGATCAGCAGTTGCTTTGTTTGATTTCTCAATATTCTTGCATATAAAAATGCTACATCACATATATCTTGGTTGTCAATTAAAATTAATTTATGTTTACAATCTAAGGATGACTCCATAGATGTATGAAGATCTTGACATCAGGCTTGAAGGTGCTGGGAAAAAAGAAGTTCCCTAGAGATCCATTAGTCATTCTTCTTGACTTACCTCTTACTAAGAAGATGTTTCTTCTACTCATAAACGTTCAGGAACCCAGACTATTCTGCAGAACGTTTTATATCCATGCAAGGCAAGCCATCCTATCCTTCCAGCCATATCTCCCAGGATCCTCCTAGCTCTGCAAGACAGTCTGCCATAGTGGGAAAGGAATTTTGAGTTAGACAAGTGGGTTGAGAATAGTGATCCTGTGGCTTAACTAGTTATGTATATAGTCTCAAGCAAGTTATTTAGCTTTTTGGCACTAAGTTTTTTTCATTTGTAGAGTAGGAATAATAATGCCTTCCTCCTAGGGTTTGGAGGAGAATAACACAGGATGAAGCAACCAAAGCACTTCACAAAAGAGTCATCTATTTTTTAAAAATGTTTTTGCCTTATCCTCCCTGCCATACCTTAAGTTCTGGTTACAGTGGAGTGGGTGACATTCCTAGTGCATGATGCCATTGGCAAATCCTACCTTCCAAGCCCAGAAGTTTCAAATGTTAGGCTGACCAGGTTTAACTGTGAAATCCTAATGCAAGGTCAAAATAAAACAGAAAAACAAGTGGTGGGTCAGAGGCCCAGAGTGTCTGAGGATTTGTGCAGAGCAGAACAGGTTGGGCCGAGCATTTCAGAACATTGTGGGTAAGCAAAGGGTCAGACACTATGCTCGATCTGGTTCTAGGTTCTTCTGCCACACCTGCTCTATAAACTGGCAGTCTTGGATCAGGCCTGCAAGTCTCCTTTTCAACTCCTACACAAGGAAGGCAGAACCACTGGAGAAAAGAACCATACAACTGGTATCACTACAAATTTCAGCCTCTAGTATCTTCAAAGCTGCTTCTCATTTCCTTATGTCCTTGATCCACCCCCTCTTTCATATACCTCAGTGGTTATTCCAAACCTTTATGACTCAAACTCTTACAACATATGAAGCCTTAGGAAGACACCTTTGAGCATCAAGGGTATCAAGCTGCAATACCCTGAAGCAACTTCCCTGGACCACAGGAACAGGTCTGGTCACCCACCCTCATGCCAGAGGTGGCAGAATTAATCCCTCCATACCTTGCCCTGTTTAAACCCCAGTCACTGTCAGGAGTCCAAGTCTAATTCTCAGCCTTCCCTACCCTCCTTTCACTACACTCTCAGATCTCCTGCTCTGTGATCAGCAAATTCCCATATGTCCTCAATATCTTTTTAAAAGTCTCCTACACCCGGGCCGAGCCCGTGGCGCACTCAGGAGAGTGTGGCGCTGGGAGTGCAGCAGCGCTCCCGCCGCGGGTTTGGATCTTATGTAGGGATGGCCGGTTTGCTCACTGGCTGAGCGCGGTGCAGCCGGTCTCAAAAAAGGACAAAAAAAAAAAAGTCTCCTACACCCTCCTTGCCTAAGTTGAAGACTGGCTCTCCTCTGAACTCCTTTCTGCCCAGCCTCTGAAGTAGAGGCCATTTTTATGTCCCCCCACCTCAGGGTAAGGAGGTGAAGCTGATGTCTTCCTTGCTCTTCTTGCTGCCTCCTGACCATTATTCCCATCCCTTTCTGTGAAAATCCCTTTGAAGTGCATACCATCTGACCATACCCCCCCCCTCACTTATCAAGACTTGGTCCACTGAATAGCCCTTCTTCTCCGCGACTGTCATTCTGAATGACTTCAATGCTCTCGCCACTCAATTCTCTTGACTCGTTCATCTCCAAAGACCTTATTCTCTCTCTGCTTCACCACCCTGTTATTACCAGAAATTGTACTACATCTGAGATCTCAGTTTTAACCTTATTTTCTCCCAGCTTATTTGCTCAAGTACCTCCATTGCCAATGGTTTGCTATTCGTAAGCCCTCTCTGAGCTTCACTTCCTGACTTGACTATATCCACGATCCGTCAATATAATATTCTATTGCCCCCTCACTCAGACACACTTGCCTTGAAGAACTCCAATTGTAGATAAACCACACTATCTATCTACTCTTTGCCTGCACTGAGCAGCTACACGTTGTTGGAGAAACCACTCAACTAGGCCAACTGATTTCATTTTAAATTCATGATCTCATACATCAAAATGGCCTTCCATGCTGCTGAGTGATCCTATTATGTTTCTCAAGTAGGCTTGGTTTCCTACTCTGCCTTTCTCCTTTCTTTCCCCTCCCACCCACACTACTTTCTGTCAGCAAATTCTGGTGTTTTCAGCATCTTTACCTCTACCGCCTGTGTCTAAGCAACCTTTGTTTCTGAACTATTGCAAGAGCCTCTTAAATGTTCTCCCTGAGTCCAACCTTGTCCCTCTCCACTCCCCAAATATAGTCTAATTCCCAGAACAGCCATGATGAGATCATGCTACTTCTCTGCTCAAATCCTCCAACGGCTTTCCAGCTCACTCAAAAAACCAAAGTTCTTTCAGTGGTCTGCATGGCCTCTGTGATCTAGTGCCCCATCTACTTACTTCCCCACTCTTCACCTACTCTCCTCCAGCCACACTGAGCTCCTTGGAGTTAGTCCAATGTGCCAGGTAAGCACTTTGCCTCACTTGTTCCTTCTCCCTACAGTATTTTCCACCCAGATACCCACATAGCTCTCTTCCTTGAAGTTTTAGCTCAGTGAAGTTTTTCTTATTTATTTATTAATAACTTTTTAAAAAACATTCTATGATGTTG